AACTTGCAGTGGGCAGCCAAGTTTGCTGTCACTCAGTCAGAATGCATTAGCGTTTCATCTTTTTTCCTTACCCTTGCCCCACTTGTTAGATATTATGCACATTTAGCTTGATAGCAAGCTTCCTCGCCATGCGATTTATCATAGTAGAAGGGAGCAGCAATCTAAGACCAAAAACATTTGAGGAAAAGTGATCGGATTAAGTTATGAAGCGAGTGGACAGAGAAATACAGCTTCACTCTATCCAATCAGAGCAGCAGGATCAACGTACAGCCCCAAACTAACCAGTTGAGTTATTTAGTCCATGCACATGACTGACTGAAAGACAGTACAGTATGGTTTAGAAACTCTGTGACTGACTGACATGAGAAAGATTCTTGCTGGCACCTGAACATCTCGGATCATAATCCTATCCAGAAAATTGCTGATATCCGTTACGATACTCGTTTTGTCCGACTACTCGGCACATCCGTAGTTTAGGTGGTACAATGAAAATGAAATGGGCGAACTATTAGAATTTTAGCAACCAGGAAAATGGAGGAGCGATTTCTGCATATTGCACCTTTAATGCAATTCAAACTGCTAGCCTATTCTTGTGATCAAGAAGTTTTGATTTATTTCATATCATTATAAGTTTTGTCAATTTTTTCATTGTCTTTTGTTCGCATGTGAGCACGTGTCTGGTTTCTCTGTCCTGTCAATGTTGAGTGATCAGACATCCTCAGCACGCATTTAGAAGTAGGCTAATTTGCCTGCACGCAAATGTATGCCAGGCCTATAAAAGTTTGATAGTCGAGTATTTCCTATTGTCTTAACACACCACCACGAATGAGCAAATCCTTTAGCCTACCTCTTAATTATAATAATACAAAAAACTAAATATATTTTAAGTGAAATATTAGCTTTTGTCTGAAGAAATTTCGAAAGACCTATGCACTATCAAGGCTTTTCAGCATAAGCAGCTTGACTACTGCTAGAGTACTGTAGCTTTATTGATCTACTGTACTTCAACAACAGATGTACTCACATTGGATGGGTTGATTAGGATTCAAACCTTCTCTCAAACAGCCTAATACATACTCTTAGAGTAGGTTTACCCCATTAATGTACTTGGTATTGTAAACCTGTTTTGGAAAAGCCTTGTTTGTCACGCCCTGACTCAGAGGACGCTTGTATGTTGAGTCAGGGTGTGTATTTTCCTTGCTGTGTTTGTCCATGTTGTACATTCTAGTATGTATAGATCTATGTTGGCCTGTGTGGTTCCCAATCAGAGGCAGCTGTCGCTCGTTGTCTCTGATTGGGGACAATACTTAGGCAGCCTATTGGCACTAGTGGGTTGTGGGATCTTGTTCCAGTTAAGGTATGTTGTGTTGCCTTGGACTTCACTTCACTTCACGTCACGTTTTGTTTGTCTTTGTGTTTAATATTTAATAAACATGTACGCATATCACGCTGCTTCTTGGTCCGTCCCGTCTATAAACGAATGTGACATTGTTAGTGCATAGGTCAAATTAGGTTTAGAATTTACTGTCTTTTTCAGCTTCAGACAAAAACTAATATTTCACTTAAAACATAGTTTTTTAAAATTAATTTCCAGGGTTTTCTGTCCTGCCACCAAACATTTTTACAGCGCATTATAACTATTTGAAATGGCATAAAACAACATGGCTGTCAATGGCATTTCTTCGGTTGCATGTAATTTTCTATTTAGACCTTTTTTGGAAGTACATACCGGCCGTGATGGCAGTAATGACAATAATTGCTCAGCCAAACGCCATTCTTTGGTAAGTACCGAACATACTTTGAAATTATTAAGCTTGAAAAGCTGGTGAATGGCAAGTTGAATGGATGCTTCCTAGATTTAAAGGAGAATCACCATATTCAACGTCTCTGGTTCAGGTAGGCCTAAGTAATGTTCATGCACACTTCTTTTCACATTTACGTTAGCTGCATAGCTAAGCGTAACGTTTTCTACAGATAATTCATGCTAACACTGCCACTTAAATGTCTTGACATCGATTAACTAGCAGACCATTCATTCAAATAAAACGTACCTCCAAAGTACAGCCCTGTGTCTTCTGGAATGAAACCAATGCGCCATTTTCTAGTGCTGAACTCAAGAGCGCCCACTAGCTTATGGCGAGGTATTACACTACTACCCCTACTTCCCGCGGCTATGGTTTCTAAACAACGGCAAATTGTTGTGGACCTGTCAGCAGAACGTTTGAATTCAACAATGTTTAATATAGACTTTTCCCCCCAACCTAAATGTGATGGACTGTCCATGAATTCTGAAACATTGTAGGGCAGGCTACTCCAAAAGATGCAATTACAGTACTGTGTTTTTGTTCTACTTGACTTTTTGTATTTATTTTTTTAGTACTACTGATATTCACTACTGCATTGTTGGGAAAGAGCAAGCAAAACAGGCATTTCACTGTACTTGTGCACATGACAATAAAAACTTGAAACATAGGCCTACTTCAATGTAAAAGATCAGCTGTTAAATTCAACTTTATACCGGTATTATAAACTTGAACTAGCCTATCTATTTACTAGACTACTAGGTCCAATTAAATGAGAGATGTGCATGGTCATTTATTGTAGGCTGTGGCTCATTCGGGAATATGAACCCATCACGGCCAGAAAAGGTGGTTATGAAGGCGCCTGGCCTGCCACAAGAAGTTGCTAGAGCGCAATGAGCCAAGTAAAGCCCCCCCGGCCAAACCCTTCCCTAACCCAGACGACGCTGGGCCAATTGTGCGCCGCCCTATGGGACTCCCAATCACAGCCAGTTGTGACACAGCCTGGGATCGAACCCAGGTCTGTAGTAACGCCTCTAGTACTGCGATGCAGTGCCTTAGACTGCTGCGCCACTCGGGAGGCCCTATGAGTTCTATGTCTCCAGGAACTGGGTTGGAGAGCCCTGCACTAGACACTGTCTAGTAGTATAATACCTCACCATACATACCCTTGTCAGTGGGGCACTCTTGAGCACTGGCGATCGACTTGACGATCATCAACCAGAAAATGAGCCTCGTCTTACTGCAGAAATGTATGAGCCTTTTGGGTAAACAACTGGGGTAAATCTCAGATAAAAACGTGCCCTGGTCAAAAGTAGTCCACTGTGTAGGGAATAGGGTGCCATTTGGGACACAAGAAGGGCTTTAGTGAGTAGTCATCAGGGATCATTAGAACAGTTCCTGGAGTTACAGTAGTACATCAGAGGCCTGTTCAGGTTGGTGCCATGTTATAGAACATTCAGATAGAAATCTGTTCAGATAAAAATGTTTCTAATACAGCTGACACAATCTCTTCTACATAATTTATATGTTCTAAACATTTCAACTTTCTGAATATTGGCCAGGGTTCTTTTCTGGAACATCCTTAATTTCTAAGGTAGGTCTATTTAACACCAGGAAGAGATATCTTCGTTCAAAGAGGTTATAAACTTGCTTCCTGGACTGAGCAGAAGTATTAGTACACTGTTGTCATTTATAAATAATAACTACCCACCAGATGGCGGTATTATTCCATTTTTCGTCGTTAATACTGCCATCATGCGGCCAGTTGGGCTATGAAATATGGAGACAAATTGAATATGGAACAATATATGTGTCTGTATTGTTGATAACAGATGTCCCCATTTTGAGATTGTTTCTATACCATATGAAGTCAATTTTTTGCATTGCCTTCATTTTAACTTCCAGTGAACTAAAATAACTCCCACAGTGACTAAAGCAAAGGGTAGATTTGCCTTGTTGTGGATTCAGGCAATATCATAAGGTGAATGTCAATGGTTTGTAAACAGTACATGATGGAAAATAAAAGCAAATAATATGATTCAGAACAAAACTTTTTAATCTAGGTCCTCTCTGTCACTATTCCTGATTTTCCTGTAGCCTTCTTCCCCCACATATCACGCCATCTCTCCCCCCTCTGGCTTTCAGTGAAGCTATATATATACACACACACACGGTCAGCCATGCTTTCATACAGCGACCCTCACACACATACACACACTCACATAGCTGACGCATTGGGGGTCTACTTCAGGGGTAGTGTTATCACACACACCCCCACGTGCGCTCTCTCACCCACACACACACAAGTTGAGACAGTTCATGATGGTCATCCACAGTAATAACAGAACCTTGAGGAGAAACACGAGCAACACATACTCTTCATTGTTCACATGCTCACATACAACAAAGGCATGGACAGAATTTAAAATGTACACACATGGTTACATGCATGCAGTGCACACATACACACACACACACAGTGCACATAACTATGGCACAGCAAACAAACGGAAATAAAGTTATACTTTGTATGAATTCAAGCTATTACAATTTAGTTGCCAATGTTTAGTTCTAGAGAGCAACATAGGAAAGGCAGATGGTTAAATGTGGCAAAGGAAATGGTAATAAGTTACCAAGCATACAGATAGTGTAATGTACGTACACAAACAACAAATTGACAAGGCAGGGTGTTACATGTAAGGCAAAAGTGGAGAGAACACATTCTCCAGAGTGCTGTGGTAGCATCTCAGCATCGAGTAGTGTGTGATATTGAGACCATGGGTGCAATGCATCCAAACACATCCAAAATTGGGGGCAGGGCACACACACACACTAAACCAGGTGTTATTGGTCACCCCTGTGTCTGACCCTCACTTTTGTTAAGTACAATAGGTTAACTGCACAGTACACTCCCCCTGTCCACAACTCTATACTTCTATCCTATTGTCCCACTCCCATCTCTCCTTTTCCTCACACAGAAAGGCAATCAAGGTGAATAAAAATAAGACTTCCATTACATGATAACCTAAAACAAAACCACAAGTGGTCATAACCGAGAAAAACTATCAACACAACAATGTCAAATAAATCTTAAATGGCAACAAATACAAAATCTAATTTGAAAATCCATTTAAAAGAATATCAAATAAAAGAAGCAGCAATGGAAATAGCATAGGCGCAAAAATCAAGGTAATGGCGAAAAAAAAAAAAAAATAGTCAGCTGGAATGGCCTCCAAACATGCTCCCTGGTCCCCTTCCCCCCACTCCAGAACAATCCGCTGGCATCCCCACCCTGACAGGGGGCACCTCTCTCACTCTGTATGTCGGGACACTTTTGGCACAGATGGACTTGGGCACATGCAGCTGCAGTTTCTATAATGTAAACTCAAACCATGCCCTCATGTACAAGAGGGTTGCGTTTATTAGGGCACACCATTTCTCATTGGACGAGTTCAGATGGAACCTCTTCGTTTCAGACCACTTTCTTCCATTTCGTGCCTATTGAACATGACCCAGGGATTAAGGCCCCGTTTTCGATCACTTTCAAAGGACTGCCCGATTTTGACAGCTAATGCATTCCGTGTCTGTTATGGGGCTAACTTCAAGCCTACGAAGCCTATTCTGTAGAGGACTTTGATCAAATCGATATGCATGCGTGCCGGTGGATACCCAATGTGCATCTGGTCTACTGTGTAAAATGTCCAGTATTCTATTAATATTTAGATCAAGTTTAATGACAAAGGGGCCTTATTTCTCACTCTATACAAGGCAAAGCTTACTGAATGCAAACATCAAGTCAAGAAAAATCTCATGTGAAAAATTATTATTTGAAATAATTTCATCAACCCCCCAAAAAACATGAAATAAAATCAACAAAAAAAGTATATACTTTGATGGAATTCATGGATGCACAGGTGCCATGCAGGTAGCCATTGCGACTGAGCTCCACCCCATTCTGGTGCACGGCTGCCTTGATTGGTGAGTGAGGAAAGAGGCAGGGTGAAGTGGTGATGAGCTCCTGCTACTCCAGTTTCACACCAGTCTTCTCTGTGTTGAGTAGATGGAGACTGTCGTCTATCAAGAAACTGTGGAGGAAAAAAGAGACTAAGTTGGTTAGGGAATAGAGGTGCAAAACGAAAGCAAGCCTAGATGTTGGATGATGGTTGTGTAAAGGTTGAGGGGAAGCTGTTGAAAGGTTTCAAGTGCTGTCCTTTTCTTATGGATTATCTATGAGGACTACTTTTGGAGTAGAAGAACTTGAGTGAGCACTCTGTTTATAGCTTTCAAAAACGTGAAAAAGTGCTCTGTAGAGTAAGTGGGAGCAAGTATTTACAATCAGCCTGTCCTCCCCATTTCTCTATCCACCAGCCTCCACTGGTGTAGGTCGATAGACAAGAGGTCTACGTGCCTGTAAAAGAGGAAGTGCACCGGCACAGTGCTGAGGTGCCAGACTGCATGGGCATCCAGGACCCAAAACAGTGGCGGGAAGTCAAGCAGCTCCAGCAGGGCCAGGCCATGGAGCAGCACCACCACCAAGCCACACTTCCACCAGTAGGGCAGTGTACGCCGGTTCTGCCAGCACCAGCACAGCCACCACAGCAGGTTCACTATGCCTGTGGAAGGGGAGGAATAGGGAACAGGAGGTGGTGGAGAGAGGCGGGAATGAGGAGAGAGAGGGTGGAGGGGGTAGGGGATAGTGTGGTAGGGAAAACGAGAGAGATTGAGACTGACTGCAAGCAGGGAAATGCTAAAGTGAATGTTACCATGGGAACAATTCACTAACATTAAATATTTGTGTTCTTTGCTTGTTATGGACTAAGGTACGGTTAACTGTACCTATGGTGGCGTTGGCAGCCATGTTGTAACCGTAGTCGAAGCTAACGAAGGTCAGGTAAGACACGTGGGAGGTGAAGGCCAGGATGAGCAGGACCCCTACCATGCTGGACACCCCCGGCTTCTTCAGCCCCAACGTCCTGGGGAGATATAAGGGTCAATGTCATATCATACATTGTCCTAAAATGTAACCATACAGAGGTTAATAATCACATATGTTCCTTGTATTTATGAGGCATCTATTAACAAACCCAGGAATAAAGTACTTTATGGAAGGAAATATTTGTTGCCAACCGCAAGAGTTATGTATGTGATATAAACATAGATGAACATAAATATTATCACTCATGGCTTATTGAGGTCTGTGTTCTATACTGATGCAGTTTGTCTTTGTCAATTATCCTTCAGTGTCTTTACTGTATGCCACAGGGGTTAAATCAACAATATTATTGAGGAAGAGTATGAGAAAAAAGCCTGTTTTTAAGCTTACCTCACACAGCATAGGTAGATAGAGTAGAGGATGACAGCAGATGCGCAGAAGTAGTCCATTTTCTTGAAGAAAGGTAAATAAACAGATTGGCAAATATTTTGTTTATAAAACGGTTAGTTCTGACCAACAAAAAATAACTGTGAAGAAGAGATCACCCTCAACCTCGAGGGATTGCTGATGAGGTGTTAGTTATTGACAATAATCCATGGCAAATGCCTGTTAACAGTTCCATCTGAATTATTATTCTGCATCCTAATTCATGAATTGAAAAATGTTCATAGAAAATAAATAGGTAGTTTTCAATTCATGAATTGAACACCACAAAGAGTGGTGACTGGTGAGTGGCAGAGAGCAGTCTAACTGAATCGGACTGATGTAATCTGAGGATCATACAGTTATCTAAATTTTACTCAAATGAGAAAACAAATTGCATTTCTATGGAGAAATTCTATGTCCAATTCAACAGGAATTGAAGTGGAATTGACTTCTACCCTGGTTTCTCAACGTATGCTATGCATCACAGACTGCTATACCCTAATTGTAACACATGCTGTATTAACCACTTGCTGTATGAAATGATAGGATGACATAGGCTTTGACCATTACCTCAGTGAGATAGGTGTCCCGAGTGTGGAACACTGTGGACCAGAACCAAGCATTGAGAGAAACCTGAATAAAGAGAAAGAGATCTTATTAAAAACTAGTTTACATAAGTATATTTTAATATGAATAAGCAAAAAGTTTAAGTTACGTTTCTGAAAACTTAAATTCATTAAACTTCTGGACACTCAAATGCACACATTACAATGTACAGGAAAATGCTACAATGGTGTAAGACTTGATGGACCTCTGTCTTACTCACACACACACGACACACTCACTAAACAAACACATTCAAACACACCAGAGAGAAGGCGGTGATGGTGTAGTACATGGGGCTCTGGCGTGGGACAGAGCTGCGGTAGCGCAGCAGCATCAGAAGGCAGGCCAGGCCGTTGAGCAGAGAGGCCAGAGCAGACGCCGGCTCCTCGAAGCACAGGAACCGAGCAAATGGCCACTGTAGAAGACAGCAGGACAAAGAAGGAAAGAGTGAGACTAAATAAAGTGAATCCTAGTATTTCATTATCCCCATAAATAGCCTAGTGGTTAATTTCCAAACCTCTCCTTGAGTACCCCCAAACTGTTCCACAACCGTAGAGGTTGATTGATTTTATTTTACACACACACACACACACACACACACACACATTTTTAAAACGTGACAGGAATATCACAAAAGAGTCAGAGACTTACAGTGCCTTCAATGTATTCACACCCTTTGACTTTTTCCACATTGTTGTGTTACAATGTGGGATTAAAATGTATTTGTCATTTGTAGTCAACGATCTACACACAACTCTGATGTAAAATTGGATGAAAAATTCTAACATTTATTTTAATTAATGGAAAATAAAACAAAATATATTTTGATTAAATAAGTATTCAACCCCTTGAGTCAATACACGTTAAAATCACCTTTGGCTGTGATTACAGCTGTGAGTCTTTCTGGGTATGTCTCTAAGAGCTTTGCAAACCTGGATTTTACAATATTTGCACATTATCCAGCATGCTTGAAAATATGAAGAGTGGTAGTCAGTGAATACTTTGTATTCAGGAAAAAAAATTGCACACTTTTTTGTAGTACTACTTTAGTGCCTTATTGCAAACCGGATGCATGTTTTGTATCCTGGCTTCCTTCTTTTCACTCTCATTTAGGTTAGTATTGTGGAGTAACTACAATGTTGTTGATCCATCCTCAGTTCTTTGGTTTAAAATCACCATTGGCCTCATGGTGAAATCCCTGAGCAGTTTCCTTAGGAAGGAAGTCTATCTTTGTAGTGACTGGGTGTATTGATTCCACAGGAGGTTGGTGGCACCTTCATTGGGGAGAACGGGTTTGTGGTAATAATGACTGGAGCGGAATTGGTGGAATGGTATCAAATACATCAAACACATGGTTTCCAGGTGTTTGATGCCATTCCATTTGCTAGATTCCGGTCATTATTATGAGCCGTTCTCCCTCAGCAGCCTCCTGTGATTGATCCACTATCCAAAGTGTAATTAATAACTTCACCATGCTCAAAGGGATATTCAATGTCTGCTTTTTAAAAATTGTTTACCCATCTACCAATAGGTGCCCTTCTTTGCGAGGCATTGGAAAACCTCCCAGGTCTTTGTCGTTGAATCTGTGCTTGAAATTCAATGCTCAACTGAGGGACGTTACAGATAATTGTATGTGTGGGGTACAGAGATGGGGTAGTCATTCAAAAATCATGTTAAACACCATTATTGCACACATAGTTTGTCCATGCAACTTATTGACTTGTTAAGCAAATTTTTACTCCTGAAGTTATTTAGGCTTGCCATAACAAATAGGTTGAATACTTAGACTCAAGACACATCAGCTTTTCATTTTTTACTAATTTGTAATCATTTCTAAAAACATAATTCCACTTTGACATTATGGGGTATTGTGTGTAGATCAGTGACACAAAATCTAAATGTTATCCATTTTAAATGAAGGCTGTAATAACAAAATGTTGAAAAAGACAGGGTGTGAATACTTTCTGAAGGCACTGCATTTCAATTGTGGTCCCTAAATTCCATGGTGCAAAAACACTACAACATTACATAAATACTGATACAGTACATAGATACAGACACATTCCATAGATACAGACATGAAACAATTGTTATATTGCTCGATCATTAGCCAGCTTTTTACATTATTTTTCAATGTTATGGTCGGCATGGATTTGAGTTGCTGTGGTAGTTTGTTCCACTCAACAGTGCTGGTATATAAAATGGTGTTCTTACCAGTTAGGTTCTTAAATATAAAACAGGCAACAGAGTCTCTGGCTCTGGTGTTGTATTGGTAGAAATCTCTAATATAAGTAAAATAATTAGATAAGTATTTGGGGGCTGAGTCAGTAATAATTCTATGGACCAGTTGAATTAATATTACCCTTTTCTCTACATATAGCCAGCCTAGCTGCATAAAACCCTTAAGTTTAAGTATAATTCTCACCAGCTTGTTTTGATTGGTCTGTAGCTTATTCTTTAGATGTTTGGGTCTGCTGGTGAACCATGATGTGCACGCATAATCAAAGTGACACTGAACTAGCACACCTGCCAGAGTCCTTAGTGTGACACTATCAAGATATTTTGAGGTCCCGAGCTAGGAATTTAAATGTTTGGTTTATCTTTGTTAAAACCTTCAGGACCAGTCTCACCAGTCAGGTACCTATTCAATTCACACCCAAGGTAGCTGACTGAGGTTTTCGGTGTAACCACAGAGTTGCCCACTGACACTAAAACCAAGGGATTCTGTTTTTCCAAGATGCAGAGAAAGTTTGTTATCTGAAAGCCATTTATTGATATTGGATAACTCTGCACTAAGGATCTCATGGTAAGGTTGACCATAGAATGCAAGGCACATACCTTTCCATGGAACTGTGGGATGCTGTAGCCTTCAGCCTGGTACAGTCCCACCGTTTGCCACATGCACTGGTACCGGCAGTCATCACGACACGTCCAGCCTGGACAAGGGACAGAAAGCTGGAGTTAGACAGTTAGTGGTCGTTCCTGACAATCTACAGCAGTAAGCCAACTTATCTGATGGAACAACACCATAGTGGTCATTGACTGTCTGTAGCTAATTGATTTGACAGAAGCCATGGGGCTAAGGCTTGTTGCATCACAAATAATTCATTAGCAGCACCAATTCAAATGCTCAACTGGCTTCAAAACATCATGCAGTGATCACCCAAAAAAAACACTGTCTGAGTATACGAACAGCTAAACAATGCAGAACAGCCAAACATGCATTTAATGACAGCAATATGTTTTTTAAGCATTTCTAATTTCCACTCTGATTACTAAATTGGTTAACTAGCTACCATATCAGTGGACGCTGCTCTAGTAGTAGCTGGCTGGCGACTGGTTCCCCAGCGCGAGCTAGCAGGCTTTTAAACTTCACAGAACGTGGCGGCGGCAGAAAACTCTCACCTGTCAGCGCCATGTAAGGCGGCTGTGTAGACTGAAAACCTCTGAGCCGAGCTCCGGTGCAGTTGGTCCGAACACATTGCGTGACACAGCCTTGGTAAACTGGCTCCTTGTCGCCTTGGGAGGCCTTCACAGCAGTCGCCGAGAGCAGGAGAAGAGCGACGATTGCCAGGGCAGAGTATCTGACAGCTGTGCAGGGGGGCAGTGGCGAGGCCATGGTCGTAGAGTCGGCACGGGGTAGCGACAGTAGCCGCATTTCATGTCACCCAGAGCCGACGACAAAGGCCCAGCTTTTCATACCCAGATCACTAGAACATCTTTCCACCAAAAGTAGTTGGGTAGGTCCCGAAGAGTCTTTGCGATTCACTGTCCTATGGGTCCACTGTGCACTGTTGTACTTTTCCCCCGCTCCTGCCGTGCAGTTTTCCAAATTCCGGAACAGGAAGTGTGAATAAACATGCGCACTGCGCATGCCGGTGCTTGATAAAGAAAAACAGACCAGAGTCAAATATTTTTTTATAACTAAACCAAGATAGACCACAGCCTATCGTTTTCGATGGGAACAAATGATTCATAGTGGGCAGAACAAGCAAGAAGGTGGGCAGAGCCAAGCACGAGCTATGAGATCCTATTGGAGTAACATCTGCATATTTCCGTTAGGGATCGCCTAATCTGTGAAGTGCGCGTGTGCAATAACTAAATTCGCCTTTGCGCACCTTCTAAACAACGCGATTTTAAAAAACGTTTGCAAAGGGCAAAATCTAGAAAACGTTTTCCACTCTGTTCATAACAGACTCTAGTTTTGGGAACAGAAAACTGTATTGAGATCAAATGTTTCATCGATGAGAACATTTGCAGAATGTCGGCCAAAATCCATCTCGATCCATCTTCTGCCACTGCTCGCCAGTGGGCTTCCTCTCACTACCATATTTGGTAGTAAGTTGAAACACCAAGCGGATGCTTCACATTTATACATCCTGTGAAATATTGGCGTCTTTTTCTATCTGTGCTGAGTACCACAGTATGAGTCATAATACCCATAAAACCTAGCGGTCAAACAGGGAAATGGTTCCAATCGTTTTTCACTGTGGTAAAATTGGTTTGAGTTTCGATATTCGCCAGACATTCGGACCTTCAAACTTCAATAGCTCATGAACTATTTGATCTTTATGAAGGAAAAAAGGTGTACAGCATTGCACAGGTCTTGTTTTCCCGATTCTAACCCGAGTTTCATAATCAAATCAAATCTTATTGGCCACATGCGCCGAATACAACAGGTGCAGACATTACAGTGAAATGCTTACTTACAGCCCTTAACCAACAGTGCATTTATTTTTAATAAAAAAGTACAATAAAACAACAACAAAAAAGTGTTGAGAAAAAAAATAGCAGAAGTTAAATAAAATAACAGTAGGGAGGCTATATATACAGGGGGGTACCGGTGCAGAGTAAATGTGCGGGGGCACCGGCTAGTTGAGGTAGTTGAAGTATTTTTTAATATGTACATGTGGGTAGAGTTAAAGTGACTATGCATAAATAATTAACAGAGTAGCAGCAGCGTAAAAAGATGGGGTGGGGGGGCAGTGCAAATAGTCCGGGTAGCCATGATTAGCTGTTCAGGAGTCTTATGGCTTGGGGGTAGAAGCTGTTGAGAAGTCTTTTGGACCTAGACTTGGCACTCCGGTACCGCTTGCCGTGCGGTAGCAGAGAGAACAGTCTATGACTAGGGTGGCTGGAGTCTTTGACAATTTTGAGGGCCTTCCTCTGACACCGCCTGGTATAGAGGTCCTGGATGGCAGGAAGCTTGGCTCCAGTGATGTACTGGGCCGTACGCACTACCCTCTGTAGTGCCTTGCGGTCGGAGGCCAAGCAGTTGCCATACCAGGCGGTGATGTAAGTAAGCATTTCACTGTAATGTCTGCACCTGTTGTATTCGGCGCATGTGACCAATAAAATTTGATTTGATTTGATTTGATTTGATTTGATTTGATGCAACCAGTCAGGATGCTCTCGATGGTGCAGCTGTAGAATTTTTTGAGGATCTGAGGACCCATGCTGAATCTTTTCAGTCTCCTGAGGGGGAATAGGCTTTGTCGTGCCCTCTTCACGACTGTCTTGGTGTGTTTGGACCATGATAGTTCGTTGGTGACACAGTCAATGCAACAATACTGAACAAAAATATAAACGCAACATGCAACAATTTCAAAGATTTTACTGAGTTACAGTTCATAGAAGGAAATCAGACAATTGAAATAAATTCATTAGGACCTAATCTATGGATTTCACATGACTGGGCAGGGGCGCAGCCATGGGTGGGCCTGGGAGGGCATAGGCCCACCCACGTGGGAGCCAGGCCCACCCACTGGGGAGCCAGACCCAGCCAATCAGAATGAGTTTATCCCCACAAATGGGCTTTATTACAGACAGAAATACTCCTCAGCAGCACCCCCTCCTCAGAGGATACCACAGGTGAAGAAGCTGCATGTGGAGGTCCTCCTCTGGTCCTGTCTGCGGTTGGAGGCCAGTTGGACGTACTGCAAAATTCTCTAAAACTAAATTAACATTCAATTCTCTGGCAACAGCTCTGTTGGACGTTCCTGTAGTCAGTTTGCCAATTGCACGCTCCCTCAAAACTTGAGACATTGGCATTGTGTTGTGTGACAAAACTGCACATTTTAGAGTGGCCTTTTATTGTCCCCAGCACAAGGTGCACCTGTGTAATGATCATGCTGTTTAATCAGATTCTTGAGATGCCACACCTGTCAGGTGGATTGACTATCTTGACAAAGGAGAAATGCTCACTTACCGTACCGGCAAAACATGAGCTTATCACATTAATGAAACAACATTTACACCTATTACACCATTATTTATCATTACTGCATGTCAGAGGCATGAAGAATGGACTTGAAAACAGGTTGTATATCCTACGCTCCAAAATGCGATGTGGTTAGAGGAGAACACTGACATTTTGCCAAGGCAGAGATGAGTGGCCGAAACCGAGATGCGCGCAGATAGCAGGGGAGGCATTCATTCTGGCCTAATGACAATCGCCAAATGTCATTAGGCTACACTTTTTGGTGTTTTGTGTAACCAATGTCTCTTTCCATTCACCACTTTGTTTGGAGGCTTGAAATATGTTGCGAGTGGATGAACGTGCGCAGGTAGCCTAGTAAAGGAGCCCTTTGAAGTGATTGACAATCAGATGAAAACATAATGACTGGTCACTTTTCATGCCACAATAAAAGTCAAATGACACATTTTTATGACTAGGCCTACAGAGATGCTATTGAATTAATAGGGATTCTAAATATAATTCAAGGATTAGATCCATGGCCGGCCCGCCCATTAGGTAGGATTAGGCAGCCGCATAGAGCAGCAGTTTGATGAGGGCGGCATTTTCTGAGCTAAACTGATCAAGACACACCTCCAACAACACATACCTCAAATTATTCTGTCCCAAAACAATGATAACTTCTCTCACCCAGTGGCATTAAAGCTATATAGGTGAGCGCTGATGCCGCCCCATGATAACCAGTGCCCACTTTGCCAAAGAGGGTGAAAAATATGTAGCTTATCTATGCCCAGCGCACCTCTCCAGGGTGCTGTTGGAGAGACGCAGCGCTGCGGCGCTCTACCAACGCTCCATCAAATTCATTTAAAATAAATTATGTAGCCTACGGTAGAAAGAGGTTTTTCTGTAGCCCATACACTGGAGACCAAATGTATTACAATGTCATCAGACAGACACTTTTGAAATCGTTAACTTATTAATGAAGAGAGAGAGTGCAGGAGAAAATCTCAACTAAAAACGGGCAGACATCAGCTTTGGAGCAGCTACGGCATAATCAAACAGAGGTGGACAACAAACGGTGCTGAAAGTAATTCATTTAAACAATTGTTTTCATTTTAATTCGACTTCACTAACAACAAGAGGGCATTGTTGGAGCCTATTTCTTCCTATAAAAAAAAAAAGAAGAGGTAGGCCTACCTGTTTGACAGACGCAATTATGCTATCGATAGATTTATCAGTATAGCCAAATCATCCAATACTGTCACCACATGTATAGTCTGCGAGGGGCTTGGTGTGTTTGGTTAAAACCAGGGCTCAAATTGAGTGAGGGTATACCATAACCTTCCTTAAAGAAAAGGGCAAAAGGATACCTATTGCTATCTTTATTTTTTGAAATAAATACATAAATTAAAAGTATCCAGATAATATAAAGTGTTCTATAACAATACTTAACTCCGTGATGCCTTATCTAGCATAAGCTTTAAAATGGCCACAAAGGATGTGACTGATGCATATGGGGATATATTGATTAGTCTCTATAACATTCCGAAGCTGAGCTGCGGCCTTCAAAATTCGAGGACACAAAACATTTACTATTCTGTCCCTATTAATTGAGCTTTTCACTTTCTGAAAAGAGAAGATGTTTAAACCCAGGTAGCTTTTAGGGAAGCACTTCTGTTGTTGGGTTAAGCAACGGACGAATAGCCAGCAGTTGAAACTTTAAATGTTCTGCGTCGTTCGAGCCTCTGTCTGGGTGGAAAGGTAACTTTTGAAAGTGCCATGCTTTGATTCCAACACAACACAACATAGATTCATAATGATGTTTAATATTTAATTATTTGCAAACAGCAACGATTCGTTGCAAACAAGACACTGGTTTGGCATTGGAGAAATATAGTAAGAATGCCTATTTCTCTGTCCATTCTTCCCTGAAACGTCTATTTTCATTATTCATCTTTCTTTTGAGACTTTTTCAGAGCTACATTTTCTCTTTATTGCAAGCTGTTTTCTCCAATCAAAGCACAAAGAAATATAAAAAACGAATTTAATAGAGACATTGGTGATTGTATCAGTGTAATCAGATTGAAAATATTAGGATATGTTATTGACATTGAACTGATTACATAGCCTACTAACCAGATGTGTAATTTTGTTGTTGTTTAATTTGTAGTATAGGCATATGAATTGGGCTGCTATTATGTTCTGTTCCACAACTATTAGCTGAGCGTTTTTATTGCCCAAGGCCAAACCTATTGTCGACCCAGCTGTACACTATTCTATACTGAAGAAAAATATAAAACGCAACATGAAACAATTTCATTGATTTTACAAAATTACAGTTCATATAAGGAAATCAGTCAATTTAAATGCATAAATTAGGCCTTAATCTATGGATTTCACATGACTGGGAATCTGTTGGTCAAAGACCTTTAAAAAGAAATATGCCTCACAATGTGCCTCAGGATCTAGTCACTGTATTTTTGTGCATTCAAATTGCCATCAATAAAATGCAGTTGTGTTCCTTGTCTGTAGCTTATTCCTGCCACTACCATAACCCCACTGCCACCATGGGGCACCAGTCAGCATGCTAATAGCACGCTCCCTGAAAACATAAGACATCTGTGGCATTGTGTTGTGTGACAAAACTGCACATTTT